TTATAAATTGTATTCGGTAGCTGAAAATAGAAGAACCTAGAGAACAAAGCCTATTATTAACCACCATCTGCTAAGAGGCGGCTGCACTTCAGCTGCTTGAAGGGGCTGTTCCTGCAAGATCTGCAGATGTGCCAGGATGTCAGAGGTGGGTCAGGACTGCGACCCTGGTGGGGAGGGTGTGTCCAGGCAAGCAAGGTACAAGCATAGCTTCAGACTGAAATGGGCTCCTTCTCGTTTCCCAGCACCCGAGGGACTGAACCCATCATCCGAGGTGGGCTGTACAAGTACCCAACCTCAGGGAAATTTGCAAGGTCTCCTCCATCCCTCACCTTCCCTCCCCAACATACCCAGACTCAAAGTCTGGGTGGAATCCCAGCCATCTCAGCCACAGGACCTGGAGCAGGTTCCTTAAGCTTTCTGAACCTCGTTCTCTTGTGATTAAAGATTGCTGTGAGGATGAAACAAAATAATAAAGATGAAGGGAACGTGTTTGGCAAACTGTAAAGTTGTTGCACACAGCTGGACTATCTGATGAACTGAGCCAAACTAACTTTGGGAGAAAACACCCTTCTTTTAAAAATCAAACCACCCATTCTCAGGTTGAGTGATTTTATCAGTAATCCCATAGTAGACATTAAAAATAACAGGAATGCCCTGTCATTATTATAATAATAACAACAATAATACTATCTTTCATTTGTAGAAATTTACAGTGTTTTCACTGCATTTTATTGCAGTTGTAGGTTGTTTTGATGGACTGAGCCCTTTCTGTGTTGACTCACTTATAAGGAAGCCCAGGCAGTTTGGGAAGCCTCTTTTCTCAAGAGCTTTCCCTTTTTAAAATGAGTCATGATTATTAAAACTGAAGCCCAGCAGCATGTGGTCGTGTATGTTAAGGGCAATGAGTCAACAAAATCATCAAAGCTATTCAAATATCTGAAGAGTTCATCCAGTTGCCTTTTAAAAGCAGGAAATGAGTGAGAAGAATAGAGAATGTTTTCTTTAATCCATGACCATAGTCAACCTGTTGTCCAGAGTTAATAATCTTTAAAGCCAAAGACACATCTGGGGAAGAATATTATCTGTAAATTCATTCTACAGCTTCCTTGGAATGCCCATAGCTTCTGGAAGCAGGAGAGTGTTCTGTGCTCAGTGTCTGCTGTCAGTCAGGATTAGGTATGGCTGCAATAGAAACCTGAAAAACCAATGGTTAAACTGAAATTAAAATGTATTTCTCTATCAAGTAACATTCCAGAGGTAGACAGCATCACTCCGACACCTTCACGGCCTGGACTCAACCTCACGGTCCACCATAGCAGCTAGAGCGTGGGCTCTCACAACTACATTCTAGCAAGTAAGATAGAGGACAAAAGCAAGGGGAAGGGGACGGTGAAGAGTGCAAGCTTCCTGCCTTTTAAAGAATGCTCTTAGGAGCTTCCATACAATTCTGCTCATATCCTATGGACCAGAACTTAGTAACATAACCACTTTAGCAATAGTGAAGTCTTTATAATGGGCAACCATGTTCCCAGCTTAAAGTCAGGGGTTCTAGAAGAAGATAAATTGCAAACTAGGGGGCAACTGGCAGTCTCCTCCCATATCTTTTGTACTTTGGCTTTGCTTTCACCTCCCTTTTTGCCAGGTGACACAAATGAGATCATCTCCAAGCCTTGGTTCAACTACATGGAACCAGAAAGTTCCTCCGTGGCCTGAGCTATTCTGAAGACCATGGACTGTGTTACCCAAAAAAAACACCACCTCACTTCCATGGAACAGACAGCAGTGTTATGGGAATGACAGAGTAATTAGAACCCCACCCCTAACCTCAAGGAGTTGACCTCCTATGGTTCTCTCAATTTCTCATGAGAAGATACCAGCAGTTCAAACCTCAGGGCTGACAACAGCCAGAACTCAACCCAAACAAAAAGAGGAACTAGGCCAAAAAGAGGGACTCACTAGAAACGTAAAGGGTTGTCTTATAACTGTAAGACAAAAGGAATGGCTAGCAAGATGGCCAAATAGGAACAGCTCTGGTCTGCAGCTCCCAGTGAGATCAATGCAGAAGGTGGGTGATATCTGCATTTCCAACTGAGGTACTTGGCTCACCCCACTGGGACTGGTTAGACAGTGGGTGCAGCCCATGGATGCCAAGCCAAAGAAGAGTGGGCGTCACCTTACCTGGGAAGCACATGGGGTCAGGGAACTCCCTCCCCTATCCAAAGGAAGCCTTGAGGGACTGTGCCATGAGCAGCGGTGCATTTTGGCCCAGACACTATGCTTTTTCCACAGTCTTCACAACCTGCAGACCAGGATATTCCCTCAGGTATCTACACCACCAGGGCCCTGGGTTTCAAGCACAAAACTGGGCAGCCATTTGGACAGACACTGAGCTAGCTTAAGGAGTTTTTTCATACCCCAGTGGTGTCTGGAATGCCAGTGAGACAGAACCGTTTACTCCCCTGGAAAGGGGGCTGAAGCCAGGGAGCCAAGTGGTCTAGCTCAGAGAATCTCAATCCCACAGAGCACAGCAAGCCAAGATCCATTGGCTTGAAATTCTCACTGCCAGACTAGCACTCTGAAGTTGACTTGGGATGCTCAAGCTTGGTGGGGGGAGGGATGCCATTACTGAGGCTTGAGTAGGTAGTTTTCCCCTCACAGTGTACACAAAGCCAACAAGAAGTTCAAACTGGGCAGAGCCAACCACACCTCAGCAAAGCTGCTGTAGCCAGACTGCCTCTCTAGATTCCTCCTCTCTGGGTAAGACATCTCTGAAAGAAAGGCAGCAGCACCAGTCAGGGGCTTATAGATAAAAATCCATCTCCCTGAAACAGAGCACTTTGGGGAAGGGGCAGCTGTGGGTGCAGCTTCAGTAGACTTAAACATTCCTGCCTCCTAGCTCTGAAGAGAGCAGTAGATCTCCCAGCACAGTGCTCAAGCTCTGCTAAGGGTCAGACTGCCTCCTCAAGTGGGTCCCTGACCCCCATGCCTCCTGACTGGCATACACCTCCCAGCAGGGGTCAACAGATACCTCATATAGGAGAGCTCCAGCTGACATCTGACAGGTGCCCCTCTGAGACAAAGCTTCTAGAGAAAGGAACAGGCAGCAATCTTTGATGTTCTGAGGCCTCTGTTGGTGATATCCAGGCAAAAGTTCTGGAGTGGACCTCCAGCAAACTCCAGCAGATCTGCAGCAGAAGGGCCTATTAGAAGGAAAACTAACAAACAGAAAGGAATAGCATCAACATCCACAAAAAGGACATTCACCCAGAAACCCCATCTGAAGGTCACCAACATGGAAAAGCAGAGGTAGACAAATTGAGGAAAATGAGGAAAAACCAGCACAAAAAGACTGAAAATCCAAAAACCAGAATGACTCTTCTCCAAAGGATCACAACTCCTCACCAGCAAGGGAACAAAACCGGATGGAGAATGAGTTTGACGAATTGACAGAAGTAGGCTTCAGAAGGTGGGTAATAACAAACTGCTCTGAGGTAAAGGAGCATGCTGTAACCCAATGCAAGGAAGCTAAGAACACTGAAAAAAGGTTAGAGGAATTTGCTAACTAGAATAACCAGTTTAGAGAAGAACATAAATGACCTGATGGAGCTGAAAAACACAGCATGAGAACTTCATGAAGCATACACAAGTATCAATAGCTGAATCTATCACAAGGAAGAAGGGATATCAGAAATTGAAGATCAACTTAATGAAACAAAGCATGAAGACAAGATTAGAGAAAAAAAAAATGAAAAGAAACAAACAAAGCCTCCAAGAAATATGGGGCTATGTGAAAAGACAAAAGCTACTTTTGATTGGTGTACCTGAAAGTCATGGGGAGAATAGAACCGAGTTGGAAAACACTCTTCAGGGAGTGATTCAGGATTACTTCCCCACCCTAGCAAGACAGGACAACATTCAAATTCTGGAAATACAGAGAACACTACAAAGATACTCTTTGAGAAGAGCAACTCCAAGAAACATAATCATCAGATTCACCAAGGTTAAAATGAAGAAAAAAATGTTAAGGGAAGCCAAAAAGAAAGCTCAGGTTACCCACAAAGAGAAGCCCTTCAGACTAATAGTGGATTTCTCTGCAGAAACCCTACAATCCAGAAGAAGGTGGAGGTCAATATTCAACATTCTTAAAGTAAAGAATATTCAACACATAATGTCATATCCAGCCAAACTAAGTTTCATAAGTGAAGGAGAAATAAAATCCTTTACAAGCAAATGCTGAGTGATTTTGTCACCACCAGGCCTGCCTTACAAGAACTCCTGAAGGAAGCATTGAATATGGAAAAGAGAAACCAGTGCCAGCCACTGCAAAAACATACCAAATTGTAAAGACCATCGACATTATGAATAAACTGCATCAAATAATGGACAAAATAACCAACTAGCATCAAAATGACAGAATCAAATTCACACATAGCAATATTAACCTTAAATGTAAATGGGCTAAATGCCTGAATTAAAAGACAGACTGGCAAGTTGAATAAAGAGTCAAGACCCACTGGTGTGCTGTATTCAGGAGATCCATCTCATGTGCAAAGACACAGGTAGGCTCAAAATAAAGGGATGTAGGAATATTTACCAAGCAAACGGCAAGGAAAAAAAAAGAGGAATTGCAATCCTAGTCTCTTGATAAAACAGACTTTAAACCAACAAAGAACAAAAGACAAAGAGAAGGGCATTACGTAATGGTCAAAGATAAATGCAACAACAAGAGCTAACGATCCTAAATATATATGCACCCAATACAAGAGCACCCAGATTCATAAAACAAGTTCTTAGAGACCTACAAAGAGACTTAGACTCCCACACAATAATACTGGGAGGCTTCACCAGCCGCTGGCACCTCCCGGATGGTGCTGACTGCTCCCTGAGCAGCGGCGGCTGCGAGGCATCAGGCCGCCCGGCGGACGCTGTTCCGGGTCGAGGCTTCGCTTCGCCAGCACTTCCTCCTGCGGCGCCGGTGCGCGGCCGGCCTGGCTGGGGGGATGGCGGCCGCGGCCCCGGGCAACAGCCGCGCATCGGCGCCCAGGCCGCTTCTGCTCTTGCTGGTTCAGCTACTGTGGGCCCCGGCTGGGGTCCGGGCGGGTCCGGATGAAGACCTTAGCCACCGGAACAAAGAACCGCTGGCGCCTGCCCAGCAGCTGCAGTAGCAGCCGGTGGCCGTGCAGGGCCCCGAGCCGGCCCGGGTTGAGAAAGCATTTACACCAGCAGCTCCAGTTCATACCAATAAGGAAGATCCTGCTGCCCAAACTGATTTGGGCTTTATGCATGCATTTGTCGCTGCCATATCAGTTGTCATTGTATCTGAATTGGGTGATAAGACATTTTTTACAGCAACCATCATGGCAATGCGCTATAACCGCCTAACCGTTCTGGCTGGTGCAATGCTTGCCTTGGGACTAATGACGTTCTTGTCAGTTTTGTTTGGCTATGCCACCACAGTCATCCCCAGGGTCTATACATACTATGTTTCAACTGTGTTATTTGCCATTTTTGGCATTAGAATGCTGCGGGAAGGCTTGAGGATGAGCCCTGAGGAAAGTCAAGAGAAACTGGAAGAAGTTCAGGCTGAATTAAAGAAAAAACATGAAGAATTTCAACAAACCAAACTTTTAAATGGACCAGGAGATGTCGAAACAGGAACAAGCACAATAGTACCTCAGAAAAAGTGGTTGCATTTTATTTCACCCATTTTTGTTCAAGCTCTTACATTAACATTCTTAGCAGAATGGGGTGATCGCTCTCAACTACAATTGTATTGGCAGCAAGAGAGGACCCCTATGGTGTAGCCGTGGGTGAACCATGGGGCACTCCCTGTGCACGGGACTGGCAGTAATTGGAGGAAGAATGATAGCACAGAAAATCTCTGTCAGAACTATGACAATCATTGGAGGCATCGTGTTTTTGGCGTTTGCATTTTCTGCATTATTTATAAGCCCTGATTCTGGTTTTTAACAAGCTATTTGTTCATCTGTATTTAGTTTAAAATAGGTAATGTTATCTTTCTGTACATAGTGTAAATTACAACTAAAATGATGGAAAAATACTGTATTTTGTAGCATCGATTTGTGAGTTAGACCTATTTAATGAAAATATTGTGTCTTGAGATATAGTCATTGATTCTATTTGTAACAGGGAGTTTTAAAAGAAACCTGACTCCTCAGTGTGGGTTTTTCCTCTCTCCAGCATGATTATGTTGCTATGGTCCCCATTTCTGTTTTGGTGCAGAGCGGTTGTGCAGTGGGGTCTGCCATGTGATTTTCTTTCGGCACTGACCCCTTTTTAAGAAATAAACATTTCCTCCTTGATGACTTAAATGTTTTAAGAGGTTCACCTCAACATTTTTCTTGGGGAAAGAATGGATTAATTTCTATTTTTTAAAACATTTCCCTGAGCCAGTAAGCAGTAGTTTAATCATCCATCTTTTCAAAATTTGGTTGCTTTTTTAAAAAAATGAGAGAGACATATACAATATTACTGTTATATCAATAACATGGTACAACAAGAACTGTCTGCCAGGTCATTCTACCTTTTTTTTTTTTAATTGGGTAGGACACCCAATATAAACACAGTCAATATTTGACAATGTGGAATTACCCAATTAAAAGAGAATACTATGAATGTATTCATATTTGTTCTGTTATTGAATAAACAATGTAACATAGATACAATATAAATAAAAGTGGTATGACTAGTGAAAAACAATACTGGGAGGCTTTAACACCCCACTGTCAACATTACACAGATCAAAGAAATAGAAAATTAACAAGGATATTGGAGACTCAGCTCTGGACCAAACGATCCTAATAGACATCTACAGAACTCTCCACACCAAATCAACAGAATATACATTCTTCTCAGCACCATATCACACTTAGTGTAAAACTGACCACATAACTAGAAGTAAAATACTCCTCAGAAAATGCAAAAGAACAGAAATTATAACAAACAGTCTTTCAAACCATAGTGCAATCAAATTAGAACTCGGGATTAAGAAACTCACTTGAAACTGCACAACTACATGAAAACTGAACAACCTGCCCCTGAATGATTACTGAATAAATAATGAAATTAAGGCAGAAATAATAAGTTCTTTGAAACCAATTAGAACAAAGATATAGCACACCAGAAACTCTGGGACACAGCTAAAGCAATATTTAGAGGGATATTTATACCACTAAATGCCCACAGGAGAAAGCAGGAAAGATCTAAAATCGACCCCCTAACATCACTATTAAAAGAACTAGAGAAGCAAGAGCAAACAAATTCAAAAGCTAGAGGAAGACAAGAAATAACTACAGAGCAGAACTGAAGGAGATGAAAAACCCTTCAAATAATCAGTTAATCCAGGTGCTGGTTTTCTGAAAAGATCAACAAATTAGATAGACTGCTAACCAGACTAATAAGGAAAAAAAGATAAGAGAATCAAATATACACAATAAAAAATGATCAAGGGGATATCACTACTGATCCCACAAAAATACAAACTACATCAGAGAATACTATAAATATTTCTACACAAATAAACTAGAAAATCTAGAAGCAATGGATAAATGCCTGGACACATACACTCTCCCAAGACAAAACCAGGAAGAAATTGAATCCCTAAATAGATCAATAACAAGTTCTAAAATTGAGGCAGTAATTAATAGCCTATCAACCAAAAAAAGCTCAGGATCAGATGGATTCACAGCTGAATCCTACCAGAGATACAAAGAGGAGCTGGCACCATTCCTTGTGAAACTATTCCAAAGAATAGAAAAAGAGAGACTCCTCCCTAACTCATTTTAAGAGGTCAGCATCATCCTGATACCAAACCTGGCAAAGACACAACAAAAAAAATAAAATTTCAGGCCAGTATCCCTGATGAACATCGTCGCAAAAATCCTCAATAAAATACTGGTAAATCAAATTCAACAGCACAGCAAAAAGCCTATCCACCATGATCAAGTCACCTTCATCCCTGGGTTGCAAGGCTGGTTCAACATACACAAATCAATAAACATAATCAATCGCATAAACAAAACCAAAGACAAAACCACATGGTTATCTCAATATATAAAATTCAAACACCCCTTCATGCTAAAAACTCTCAATAAACTAGGTATTGGTGGAATGTATCTAAACATGATAAGAGCTATTTATGACAAACCCACAGCCAGTAATCATACTGAATGGGCGAAAGCTGGATGCATTCCCTTTGAAAACCAGCACAAGACAAGGATGCTGTCTCTCACCCCTCCTGTTCAACACAGTATTGGAAGTTCTGGCCAGGGCAATCAGGAAAGAAAAAGAAATAAAAGTATTCAAATAGGAAGAGAGGAAGTCAAATTGTCCCTATTTACAGATGACATGATTGTATATTTAGAAAACCCCATCATCTTAGCCCAAAATCTCCTTAAGCTGATAAGCAACTTCAGTAAAGTCTCAGGATACAAAATCAGTGTGCAAAAATCACAAGCATTCCTATGCACCAATAAAAGACAAAAGAGAGCCAAATCATGAGCGAACTCCCATTCACAATTGTTACAAAGAGAATAAAATACCCAGGAATACAACTTACAAGTGTATTGCCAAATATGAAGGACCTCCTCAAGGAGAACTACACACCACTGCTCAACGAAATAAGAAAGGACACAAACAAATGGGGGAAAAAATCCGTACTCATGGATAGGAAGAATCAATAACATAAAAATGGCCATACTGCCCAAGGTAATTCATAGATTCAGTGCAATCTCCATCAAGCTACCACTGACTTTCTTCACAGAATTAGAAAAAACTACTTTAAATTTCATATGGAACCATAAAAGAGCCCATATAGCCAAGACAATCCTAAGCAAAAAGAACAAAGCTGGAGGCATCATGCTACCTGACTTCAAACTATACTAACTATACTACAAGGCTACAGTAACCAAAACAGCATAGTACAGGTACTAAAACAGACATAGAGACTAATGCAACAAAACAGAGGCCTCAGAAATAACACCACACATCTACAACCACCTGATCTTTGACAAATCTGACAAAAAGAAAAGCAATGGGGAAAGGATTACCTATTTAATAAATTATGTTGGGAAAACTGGCTAGCTATATGCAGAAAACTGAAACTGGACCCCTTCCTTACACCTTATACAAAAATTAACTCAAGATGGATTTAAGACTTAAATGGAAGACCTAAAACCATAAAAATCCTAGGAGAAAACCTAGGCAACACCATTCAGGACACAGACATGGGCAAAAGCAATGGCAACAAAAGCCAAAATAGACAAATGGAATCTAATTAAACTAAAGAGCTTCGGCGCAGCAAAAGAAACTATCATCAAAGTGAACAGGCAACCTAGAGAATGGGAGAAAAATTCTGCAATCTATTTATCTGACAAAGGGCTAATATCCAGAGTCTACAAAGAACTTATACAAATTTACAAGAAAAAAAACAAAGAACCCCATCAAAAAGTGGGCAAAGAATATGAACAGACACTTTTCTAAAGAAGACATTTATGCAGCCAACAAACATATGAATAAAAGCTCATCATCACTGGTTATTAGCAAAATGCAAATCAAAACCACAGTGAGATACTATCTCATGCCAGTTAGAATGGCGATCGTTAAAAAATCAGGAAACAACAGCTGCTGGAGAGGGTGTGGAGAAATAGGAATGCTTTTACACTGTTGGTGGGAGTGTAGATTAGTTCAACCATTGTGGAAGACAGTGTGGTAATTCCTCATGGATCTAGAACCAGAAATATCATTTGATCCAGCAATTTGACACATGCACATGTATGTTTATTGCAGCACGATTCACAATAGCAAAGACTTGAAACCAACCCACATGCCTATCAATGATAGACTGGATAAAGAAAATGTGGCACATATACACCATGGAATACTATGCAGCCATAAAAAAGGATGAGTTCATGTCCTTTGCAGGGACATGGATGAAGTTGGAAACCAGTAAGCAAACTAACACAGGAACAGAAAACAAAACACTGCATTTCTCATTCATAAGTGGGAGTTGAACAATGAGAACACATGGACACAGGGAGGGGAACATCACACACCATGGCCTGTCAGGGGGTTGGAGGCTAGGGGAAGGATAGCATTAGGAGAAATACCTAATGTAGATGATGGCTTGATGGGTGCAGCAAACCACCATGGCACGTGTATACCCATGTAACAAACCTGCAAGTTCTGCACATGTATCCCAGAACTTAAATTTTTTTTTTTTTTTTTTTTTTTTTTTTTTTTTGAGACGGCGTTTAGTTCTTGTTACCCAGGCTGGAGTGCAATGGTGTGATCTCAGCTCACTGCAACCTCTGCCTCCTGGGTTCAGGCAATTCTCCTGCCTCGGCCTCCTGAACAGCTGGGATTACAGGTACGCACCACCATGTCCAGCTAATTTTTTGTATTTTTAGTAAAGACGGGATTTCACCATGTTGATCAGGATGGTCTCGATCTCTTGACCTCTTGATCCACCCACCTCGGCCTCCCAAAGTGCTGGGATTACAGGCTTGAGCCACCGTGCCCAGCCCAAGTATAATTTTAAAAGAAAGAAATGTAAGACAAAAAAATGTGTCTGGGTCTCAAGAGGACTAGGATCTGGCCCCATGAAGCCAAGCAAGTTCTCTGTGTGTGCATCCTTCTTGCTGCGCCAGGCTTTTTCCATAGAAGGTGACTGCCAACAGCTTCTGGGCTTTCCATCTGACCACCTCAGCACTGAAGAGAGACACTGCCAAACATTGTCCTGGTGCAAAGTCGGAAGACGCCCAGACACAGACGCCTTGGTTCAGCCTTGTCAGCTGCTTATGCTGGGATAATCAGGTGTGTCCAGGTGGGCAGGGCCAGCAGAGCCACATGGCTGGGGCAAGAGAAAAGCTGTTCCTATAAAGAGGTAGTTTGTGGGACTGATTAGAATAACCACGTATCCATGGCAACAGTCATTCTCCAAGCACCAATGATTGCTTTCACAACAAGTGGAAATGTTCTGGGAAACAGCCAAAGATCAGCTGTCACTGACCACTCACTCATGTGGCTCTGCTCATTCAATTTCCCGATCCCCAGTGAACATCTCTACCTGCTTACATCCCCTGAAGAGATAGGCTCTTTACCCACAGCTCCAAAGAACAGACATATGAGCCCAGTCTGGGAAATACTGGCCTTGCCCTGGGAAGGTAACATCATCAGGAATAGTTTAATATTCACAGAGCACCAATTGTGGGAGCCCTAGCTTCCATTTATATCCTTTGGAAAAAATTAAAAAGAAATCATTGGGCTCTTTGAGGTCCATTTTACTCAGAAAAAAAAAAAATCTTGGCCCTCGCCAAATCGAACTCGTACGACTCTTAGTGGTGGGAAAAAAAAAAAAGGAAAAAGAATCTTTTTTTTTTTTTTTTTGAGACAGTCTTGCTCTGTCACCCAGGCTGGAGTGCAGTGTGGAATCTCATCTCACTGCAACCTCCACCTCCTGGGTTCAAGTGATTCTCCTGCCTCAGCCTCTCAAGTAGCTGGGACTACAGGTGTCCACCACCACACCTGGCTAATTTTTGTACTTTTAGTAGAGACATATTGGTAATGCTGGTCTTGAACCCCTGACCCAGGTGATCCACCTGCCTTGGCCTCCCAAAGTGCTGGGATTACAGGCGTGAGCCAATGCTCCCTGCTGAAACAAAAACTTTTTTAAAGTGCCATGTTCAGGCCAGGCGCAG